ATAAAACGCTCGCGAAATTTATACCGACGCTTAGCTATTGTCATTAGATGGTATGGGGACGCGAAAAATTGTTGAAATCAGCAAAAATGTTGACTCACTGTTACGCCCAAACCGCCTTGGGTTACGTCATATACCTAGTAAGTCCCCCATGGCCCCACTACCCCTCCACCGCCCCATTCTTGCTCATTCTCATTTACTGAATATTTAATTTGCCCACTCTCATTTTTCTGAATAATTAATTTGCTCACTCTCATTTACTGAATATTAATTACCTCCGCCTCAAAAAATCCGGGTCGAAACCACCTATACTACTACTGACAACGAATTATTAGTTGCAATCCGCAGTGTCATGAAACTAGAAAAAACTGGTTTATCATCGTTTATAGTATGGAAGAAAAGAGATGCCCGGAAAATCTTGTCGTGATATTTCAGCAAGAAAATGTGTTGGCGATGGAATTTATTGGATTTCCTTAAACTCAAGTAAGAAATAGCAGAGCCTTTCATAACATAGTTTATCAATTTGTAACTTTATCGCATCCGTAGAAGTAGAATTTAGTGATTTAATTATTTCTCGAAACTACAATCATGCGGAGCGATCATAGAAAAGCGGTCAATTTTTAGCTTAATTAAATAACTTTTAACATCGAGAAAAATGAAGACAATTAGCCTTTCTCACGATGACGAATACCCGCCATTTTTGGGTGGCATCCAATTCTCGTTAACCAATGCAGACAACAACCTCGTTCCCAGGCTCTTTGCTCTTGGAAAGCAAAGACCCTGGTCGGAGCTGGTCACGTGAACCCCCAGATTTGGGGGGTAAATTGAATTTGACCTCAGGGAGGGGTATTAGAGGAGTCTGTTTGTTGCGTTTGGAAAATTGCAACTTTATGTGTTATAATTTCGGGTGATAAAAATGTAATTTGCAACAAGAGATTGAGAAAGGAACTGTTTGTACCGATCATGACAAGACTTCCTGCTGTACTGAATGTCATCAATAATAAGTGTTACGGTACACTTCAAGCGAGAAGCTGGATCGTATTTCACTTGCAAGAAAAGCACTCCACACGCGCCTGGCTTGCGAAGTTTAGCACGTATCGCCGTAGGAACATATATATCTTCTACACAGAATGATCGATCAAACGGTATTAAACGAACGATATGGTTCTTTACAGTTGAAGTGTATCCTGTTCGATATTCAAAACAAAAGATTTATTTTATATAACAGGATCCTTTGATTTCCCAAACATCGCCAACATGTGTAAACAATAGTGCTATTTTGACTGTAAAAGCACAGGATTAAAACCCGTTATGGACTGGCTATAAAATTCATTTCATTTACATTGCTGAAACTCAACGATCAAGAAAGATAATGTCGAAGTGTAGCTAGCTATCTGTTATCACACAAACGCCAAGACTCCTCCGTGCGTTTCCGTGCGTGCGGTACAACTTGAATATCTAGGACAATATATGCATCAGACACTGGTATTGTACTTTATTTATAGTATTTCATATTTTGTGTATACAGTAATTTGCAACGTGTATAATATTAGACCTTTCATTGACATTGGCATTGTCCATTGAGGGCTTTATTGAAGAATAATCCAGCTTCTTTAGACTTGTATAATGGATTAATGCCGCTGTGAGTTATCAATAACAATATTTAAATCAACTTTAATCTTTATCGTATTCCGTAACCGACATTTTAGAAGTTTAGTCTGTTTTACCAAACAATACTGGAGGCAAACAACCTATCTATCAATGGAAACTTTAAAAGGTTTGTTACAGTAAAACGCATTAATATAAGCGAGACGTCGTACGTATGCATATACAGTTTGTGAATTATGTATATCCCTGATAAAACGTAGGACACTTTATACCAGATGTAATAAAAAATACTTTGCTAAACCTTTTCTGCTGTCATTCCTTTGCATTTAAGGGGAGAGGGTAAATGGCGATAGAATATTTATAGGAGATGCTGTGCAATATTTTGGCTTCAACAAACAGGTGCTCGTGCAGACAAAAAAGGAAATTCATGCAGTTGTGAATTGTCATATGTCAGCTGTGCACTGTCGATTTCAAACAATTTTGTACGTTATATTTTATCTTCCTGGTGTTTAATATAAACGATGATAACCTTTTAAAAAAAATCTAGAGCAATATGTCTATAAACAGTTTTAGAATCAATAGAATGGGCATTCAATGTGTATTTGGCTTGTGTCCAAATGTGTCACGTTTAAGACCGGCAAGGCGCTAATCTTATACCTTATCACTTGAGGTATATATGATTCTTGAAGATGAATGAGATGATTGTACAGAACGGCCACTCCTTGCAATTGAAGTGCGAAGTGCGGAAGTGGAAACATGTAATATGAGACTTTTCCATCCCCCTCTTGGGCTATCAATTTTCTATGGGTCACGTGACCAGCTCCGACCAGGGTCTTTGCTTCCCAAGAGCAAAGAGCCTGGGAACGAGGTTGTGCAGACAATTAAAACAATGTGAAAAGCAATATTTCAAAATAAACTAACCATTTACAAAGCAAACTTACCATAATTTGTCAAAAGAATTATAAAAAGTCGCTGTTATGTGGACTTATCTCGCAGACCTCCAATCGTCCACAAAATATATTGAGACTTTTTAAATCAATCCCCTCCCCCCTTATTTCAATGTTGAAACCTACTGGACTTATCCAAAACGAACATAAGGTGACACTAGCACCGCTACTGTATCACTGGCAGTTGGAATTTAACATATGATGTTGGAATTAAACTATATTGTAGTGCCTAACAACATTGAAATCGGGGGAGGGGGTTTGTCTCAAATATTTTGTGGACGATTGTCTGAAAATTGGGGAAAATCGAGCACAGGTTTTGGCTATTTACTGCATAATATTTTCTTTGGCAGCGCTTATGTTAATGTATACGAACAAAATTTGCATAACCTATTTGGACTACATAGTATACATGCCGATATACAAGTATTATATTATGCGATAGTTTGTCCAAGTTAATTAAGTTAAAATCCATACCTTACCGGCATCTAACGTTCCTTCGCAAGCTTGCCTTCGATTCGAAAAAGATATATCGACAATGAAGAAGGAATATCATGCAACCATCACAAATCAAGATTTTTCTATTTTAAAGTAATATGTAAATTCAAGAACAACGCCAACATGTAAACAACCTCGTTCTCAAACTGGAAATTAGCCATTCGGATTAGTTTAATTAATGTATATGCATGGGCTACCTGTTTTCGCTCCAAATTCAAATTTTAACAACGCGTTACCACGCGTTACCACGCGTTACCACGCGTTACCATACGCGTTACCACTAATATCAAACAGTTATTATTGCTACAATAAAACTTCCGCAATAAAAGTTCATTTCTAATGGTTCAAAACTACAAGATCGATATGCAAGCAATGACTAACAACGCGTTACCATGAGTTGCGCACGCGTTACCACGCGTTACCATCTTTTATTTAAAAAAAACTACTATATACATTTTATCAAAAACTTAACGGTAACGCGTGGTAACGCGTTGCTTTTTCAACAAAATACCATAATGAATAGAATTACTAGGCGTTAACGCGTATGGTTATCTGAGATAACGCATGGAAATGCATTGTTTTAGTAATAGAAAAGCCAAATAGACAATTAGTACATGGTAACGCGTATGGTAACGCGTGGTAACGCGTGGTAACGCGTGGTAACGCGTGGTAATGTGTTCTGTTCGTAATAGAAAAGCCATATTATAAAACTATTAGTACATGGTAACGCATGTGGCAATGCGTGGTAACACGTTGCTTTAGTAATTTATATTTCAAAAGCCATATTAAACATTAGTTTATGGTAACTTGAATAAATTAAAACTTTGACCCCACCAAGTAATCAAAAATTAATTAAAGAATGCTTATAGTTTCATCAACATTCAATTATCCATTAATTAACTTGAGTAACTAAAGTATTATTAATCCATGTGAAGGTATAGGACTTAATCTAAGAACTATGCACGGTTAATTCTCTAACTTAACGGACCGATCCAAGGATGTACTCTACAGCCATCCCACCTCCCTCCCCCACCCCATCCGGCTCAGAAGAAGACTTGGTATGGTACCATTATACAACGTAGTGATCTTTGTATGGGCCTAACAATACTATCCAAATTATAGTGAATAGTAAGACGCTTCTATTACTTCACAAAAATTCCTTAAATATTTAATCCTTGCCCCCACACCTCTGGGAATTAAATTATCCTCCCCATCCCTCCCCCCGCCCACAGCTATTGTGCCGCACATAACATGATTTCAAATAACTTCGAGCTGCTGCCATCTAAGTTTTCTTAATTTCTAATATAATCGTCTACCAAACATATAGTGATATTTTTTTAATCTCTCCCCCATTTCTTTTATATCTCCGCCCCCCCCCCCTGGTCAACTTGGCAGTACTGTACTATTCTACATGTGAACAATAACCCGAATAGTATCATCTACAGTGACTACTACACATGCACACAAAGTGATTTCAAAAAAACTTCGAGATGCTTTTAACTAAGTCTTATCAATTTTTAAGACAATCGTCCACAAAATATATTGAGACTTTTTAAATCAATCCCCTCCCCCCTTATTTCAATGTTGAAACCTACTGGACTTATCCAAAACGAACATAAGGTGACACTAGCACCGCTACTGTATCACTGGCAGTTGGAATTTAACATATGATGTTGGAATTAAACTATATTGTAGTGCCTAACAACATTGAAATCGGGGGAGGGGGTTTGTCTCAAATATTTTGTGGACGATTGTCGGCTGAAATGCCACCCAAAAATGGCGGCGTGAGAAAGGCTAATTTGTTGCGCCCGTTATCTGGCCATGCAAAGACATTATTAGGAATGAAGTGACATAATACTTGAGCTTACTTCATCTTGCAGCAGCTTCTACAGCATTTCCAGTATTCTGTGATATGAAAAATGGAGGTAAGACTTCACATAGAATTCTAGAATTTCGTAGATTCTAAGAAATCTCATAAAATTGAAGATGTCTATAAGCAGGACAGACTTAAGGTAAAATAGTCTACATTCATAGACAAATTTGGCTAACGTTGTTTACATCGTTGCTACCCAATTCCCAACTTTAGATACTCACATGCCTAGTTACTATTGTTCTAGTTTACAGAAACATAAAATAGGACAAAGGTAACTAAGCATTAGAATTATGTATAAGAGTTATTTACTCATGCACAGATAATTCTGAAGCATAAAATTATCTATATATGCTTCTGTAAAGCAGAACAAATTAGCTAGGCATGTGAGGGACCTACCAAAAGTTGTAAATTGTGCATAAACAAACGTTAGCCAAATTTGTCAATTACTCCCAAACACTTAACATTCTAACATGGGGGAAAATAGACAAAACGTTCAACATAGAACAAGTTTTAGCATTTCCATAGAACGCATGAGCCGGAAACAATTTCCTTTTTCAGGGCGCGGGATCCAACAATTTGTACTGAAAATTATTAGTGTTTTATTAACTTTCTATTCCTCAGGTTGGACCCTAATATTCAAGGGCATTGCGGGTGTGCCTGGAATTGTGTCAGATATCTGGCAAAGTCCGTCTACATTTAACGAAAATTCACTGAAAGCTTTGAATATTGAGAACTGTTTTAAAAATCATTACAAAAATAGAATTGTCCAAGAATGGAGTACTTTTAGCCCAACGCAGGTAAAAAGAAAGTATTTATTCCAGCCAAACTATTCATCCTGGCCAAATTATTTTTCCTGGCCAATCTATATTCATGCTGGTCAAACTATTCGTCCTTCCACTGAATACCTCCATGCCAGCTATAATCTATTCTGGGCAGTCTTGGCATCGTCTTTTCTACAGTAGGTTTCAGTCTCTTTCTACAACATTTCGCATGTCATGGGATGGCTTACGGCTTACGAGATGACATGGAGGCTGTAGGGAACTTGTACTGGCCAGTATATATGTTAGAAGAAGCCCTGGCACATCATAACAATTCTTAATTTGTTTAAGGCTCGTATTGTCCTGTATTCTCGCGGTAAAGAAGACGTGGTCTTGACGTTCAGTAAACAAAATACAAACAACATGAATTGGTTTACAGAAGCAAATCTTCAAACCTCACCTTGGCAAGATATTCATGAAAAAGTTAACAATTATTTCAGCGTGGTTGGTTATTGTCCTGCAGATAGAGGCTGTCGTGATTTTTATATCAATCACCAACATGGTGGTTGTCCTGGGGATATTGGATGGTTAACCATTGGGAATATATACCAGGGATGTGACTGGGAAAAGAAACATGGAATGACTTCATTTCTCTATAGTAAAAAGACAAGTACTGTCAACTGGAACGTTTACGGTGAGTTTATTTGTTGGCAATAATCTTAAATAAATCTTAAATCTTGATTATCATTAATTCCCTGTCCAGGTTGACGGCTGCGTGTAGGAATACCACAGTATTCGAAATTTACAACTCCAAAACCCTTCAACAATTAGTTCTATCTGTTAATTAATGGCTGATATTTACATATAACAGTTACTGTAAGTCTGTAACCTATTGTTTAAATTTCGTCCAAGCAGAACAAGAAATGCAGCCCGCAGTCTTGATAATAAATATTTGTAATATTTCCAAATGTTTTTTCAGCTGATGTTGGTGCCTCAGAAGTGTTTGCAGTTTATCTTCGTTAGACACAGATTTGCAGTTAGAGAAAAGTCCAGTGGAGACAAAATTCAAACTCAGCCAGTTTTTCTTTAACAAGGCAATTATAGTAGATGTTGCCGAAAGATGTAAAAGTTAAACAACCATGCATGTCCATGCATATGGTTGTTATCGACGAAATAAATTAAAGCTACGTTTACACGCTACGATTAATCGTGTACGATTCGTATTCTGGCGTATTAAAATGAGTGCTGGCGCCATAATTCATTGCCGCTTCGTAAAAAAGAAATTTCAAATGTAGCCAGCTTAGGCGTGTGTACTCAATGACATACGCCATAGCCTGCAAACAGGCCCTGGGTTACGGGCGGCGCGAGGAATAGAGGAGTGAGCCTGTTCGCAGGCTACCAGAAAACGAATCCTATATACACGATTAACCGCAGCGTGTAAACGTAGCTTAAGAACTTGTCTTTAATTGAGTGCTATATTAAATTTTTGTGTATTTTGATTACCTTGTTTACGACCAATACTATATTCGCCTAGTATATACTGTTGTACCTCTTCGATCTTGAGAAGGAGAGTCCCCGCTGGAGCTGGTCACGTAAACACCCAGATTTTTGGTGGTATTAAAATTACAAAACTGAGGGAGGTTAATTATTATTATTATTATTATTATTTAAACATATTTATCCACGGTAGCCTTTCAGTTGCCTGTTTTTCAAAGGGCCGTGGTCTAAAACTATTAAAAAGATATAAAACTAAATCTAAACCTAAAGTTTAACACACTAACATTAATTCAAATTGAAGTATAACATGCATAACGACCTTACAATGCAAATAAACATTCGATAAAATTTCTGGAAAATTTCACTATCTTAGCAATTTTTAATAAGCCTTTTGAACTGATTCAATGAAAGATGCTCATGTTCCTCGAGAATTTCGTTTGGAAGTTTATTCCATGACACTGCTGCGCGGTAGGAAAAACTTTTCTTAAGGAAGTTAGTGTTTGGTTTTGATAAGTGAAGTTTTCGTTCGTTACTTCTCAATGCATAATTGTCGTTCTGGGGGTCTCTGTAAAGAACGGAAACCGAAACGACCGAATCCGGAAACGACCGAAACCGGAAACGACCGAAACCGGAAATTCCCGCCTAATATTTCCCGCATAGCGAATAATTATATTGTTGATGCTCGATCGCTGGCATAACATTTAGATAAATATCGTCCAAATGTCGTAAGTCGTAAGGTTGTATACTATTTAAAAACTGCTGACAATTTTGTAAATTATTTAATAATCTTACTGCATATTATTAATTTCCTGAACAATGCTGATTTTGTTTAAAACGATATTGCATTCACTTTCTCATTTGACATACGATACGGCTTTCACTAAAATGACACGCTCGTGATTTCGAAAAAGTTAAATACATGCTCATTTAGACGTATTCCAAATCTCAATTTATCTGACCGCATTTTAATAGCTTCAAATTTTCAGAACTTTGTTCTTTCAATCACAAGTAGTACAAGTATTATTGCATTTAAGGGTAGTATTTTATTCGGCTTTTAATTTGTATGTGTTGTACTGAACTCTTGGATACTTTATTTACTTAAAACAACCCGTTTACAAAATATCTTTTACTCTATATCGAGTCCGTATTCAAAACCACTGTTGTTTTCTTTTTACCTTAAATCCCATACACCAAAAGGTGATTTGTCCCGATAACAGACCGATCGTAATATAAACAAATGTAACACAACATATAACATCTCTCCCCAACTACAATAATAGTCCAACCCCCCTTAAGTTTCGTAGTCTTCTAAATAACTTGGCCTCCGTGTTGTCCGTCGTGGTCTTTGCCCTTTCTCAGTGCTTTCATCCGGCGTCTCCTGTTGGTTCCCCCTGTTTTCGTTCTCCGTCTCTCCGTCACTCTCGTCTGATGCG